CCGTCAAATTGTTGAAACTTTGGAGGTATATAGCCCATTGGCATCCTTAGATCATCAATCCTTTGCGTGTATGGCTTGACATAGGTTGATGATGACTTCGAGCTTCCTTCCAACTTGTCTTTGATGGTTCCATTGATCAGCGTTATCACTTGATCTACATGAATCATCCCTTCTGGAGAAACTTGAAGTTCTTGAGCTGGAGCCTTCTCGTTTTCAACTGGTTGTTGCTTTGTGGATGTCTCGACTTCGTCTTGAACTTCTATCTGATTCTCCACAGCTTGACTAGCATCGGCTTTGTCCATCTTGTTGATCAACTCGGCAATTTGAGAATCTCGTTGTTGAACATGCTTTGTGAGTCCCTCAATTGCCTTTGTCAAACTTGCAATTTGCTCCTCCATGGTTGTAGCGTTTGTTGTCATGACGGATGTCACCTCTGAGTAGCTTGATGTTGAACGAGGCGTGGGCTGTGAAATCTTTCGTTTTGAACCTTCCACGTCTGCGCTTGTGTTGACAAGAGGTGGTAAGCCTTTCTGAATGGTTTGAGGCGTCGAGTTAGTTTCGGAGGACGCTTGCAGCTGCAACACTTCGAGGATCTTCGAGAGAGAGAGAAGAGATGAGAGGTAGAGATGTCCCACCGGGCGTGCCAAAATTTGTAGCAACAAATTCTTATCTGCGATTTAAACAAACAAGAAAAACTTGCACAAAGATAATTTATTGAATTAAAATAAAATATTGCGGGTTACAAACTCTAATCTAATCCTCTGATTCTCCTCTCAAGAACAATATTTGTTTGACTTTGAATTTCGGAGACGAGTCGTTGATTTGATCTTCTCCGGATTTGATTTGGATTTGAATAACGTCTTCCGAGGGTCTTGTGACTTGAATCTCGGATCGAACGCTGAACTTTGACGGATTTTGACTTGAAGATCTTGGAGTTCTTGATGGATTTGGCCCTTCAATCTTCCTTCGATCTTGATTTGATGTTAATAACGTTAATTCGAGGGTTTAGCACCGTAATCTCGAATTAAACGCTTTAACGCCTTGATTTGATGATGAACTCCTTCGATTTGATGAACTCCTTCGATTTGATGAAGAACGCCTTGAATTTGATGAAGAACGACTTGAATATTGTAGAGAGAATTTTCTCCTACGGTTTTTATTCTTCTTGAGTTGTCCCTTGAATTGTGTAGGGAGGGTCCCTATTTATAGTGGTAGT